GATTAATGACTATTATTTAAGAAAATATGACAATATATTCTTATTTTACTGATAAATGTTTATGATGAATGTCCCTGTGATGGACTTGTAATCTGTCCAGTGTGTACCTAACCCCGCCCCTCGCATTGTGGCTGCTGGATATGGGCACCAGTGACCCCTGTGACCCTGAAAGGAATAAGTGGGTGTAGATAATGGATGGATGATAAATGTTTACACTTAGCTCTTTCTTTTTACAGCAATAATAGTAGACAAATCTGAAGAGTAACGTATCCTAGTACAGAGCACTAAACTCCTATGCCCTCATGATTTCAGTGGAGTCATCAGAGACGGGGGGCACTCATGAGGTTAGACTGTGCAAAGGGTTGCTTGGTAAGAGTTTGAACCTGGATAACATCAACCTGCCCGTTTCAGGGAAYTTACGGTAACCGCCCCGCCCACGAACCCGGAAGTCCATTGTGTAGTATTCTCGTAGCTAGCACACAGACCGTGTAGCGCTAATTTCCAACACTATTCTCGGCGGCATCAAATGAAAACATGTCCACGAACATGCCGGGCGGCAACATGAACATGGAGTCGCAGCTYTTATCCATAATGAACGTGCTGGTGAAGGCGGCGGTGGCGGAAATCATCCAGTTGTTCTCGGAGAGCTCGGAGACCCTGCGCCTGCATTTAACCCAGAGTCTGAAGGAAAACGAAAACCTGAGGGTGAGGATGAAGGTGATGAGGAGTGAGTTGTTCTCCCTAAAGCTACAAACCAGAACGAACCGACCGGCCAGCCGCTTCTCTTCATTTAAGGCGAATATCCCCAAACCACGAGCTAAATCACAGGGTAAGGATACTTTCAAGTAAACAACACTTTTTAGTCTCGTAACCATGACACAGGGGCGGCCTAAAGTTTTATGAGGCCCTTTAGGGGTCCCTACTCCCTCCCTGCTAAATCCATTGTAGATCACCCACCTCATGAATGTTTTCTTTTTGTAATCATGCTTGTTATAAATAATTTWTTTCTAATGCATTTTTGTAGTAGCTACACTTAAGAGCTCCAAGTTAAAAGTTAACACTTGACNACTGGGAAGCGGTTGTGATGTAATTTTGCAATGAAGCGTATGAAACTGCATTTCAGTTAGCCGACAGGTGACTATTGCTGCTGCTAACCTAGCTGCAACACTGCTACAATATAAACAATGACAAAAAGAGAGCTCTAATACATACATCATGCAAATAAACATTGATCTTAATGCGAACAGTACGCACAGAAAATGCAGTACCTGTGCGAGTGATTAAACATGGACAAAAACATTAAGAATGATAATTAACAGTAAAAGTTACTATGTTAACTTTCTAAAGCTGCAAGTAGCCACCATCTTGAAATTGAAACTGGGAGTAGTCGCAGTGAGACAAAGAAAAAAAATCTCTATGAATTGTTCATTTTCCAAATGCAGTCGATAGAGTTTGAAACAGCTTGGAGATTAGTGGTGCGTTCACACCGAACGCGATTTCAGCGTCAAGAGC